GCTTTGTACAAAGCCATATCATAAATATTTTCTTTCACTTTTATAAAGTACTTTAGACAATGTTGATGATGTTAGATATCAAAGGTGGGATAGGAGAGACCTGATTTGCCTCTGTGCCGCAAATAATAATCCGGGAATTCATGCCATATATCAGATTGTAAAAAAAAAAATGCTTTTGATAAAAATCAACTAGGTGACACGAAGAATGCTCAAAGTATCTCCTAACAATCTTTAAACAGAGAAACCCATTAGTGATCGCTTTGTCGAGAAATAGTAATAACAATAACTGAATGAAGTGCTTATATACTGTACCAGGTTAGTGGGTGCAATGACATAGGGGGAGAGTGTCATGAGACAAATATCACCAACAGCAATTAAGTGTGGTATACAAGACTGGAGCAATTGAGAAAAAATTAGGCCAATGCTTAGAGCAAAGGATGAAATCCTGGCAGTCAAGTAATAGCTGTAGTGAGAGCAAGTACATTTTGGAACTATACTTTAGTCTTGTACCAGTTTTCTATATCACTAAAGATAATGGGTCCTCAGCTGAAACGTTCTTATCAAGAATATGTTGATTACAGTTATTGAATGTAATAAAACAGTAGTGAAACTGTTGTATTTGAGTAGCACCTAACATTATTTTCAATCTTTTAGTTACTGGAATGCATATTAGAAACCATTAACAAAATATTCCATTATTAACTGTAAATGTTTACTAAAGATTTCTGAAAAGAAATGAATTCGACATTTAACATAAAATATTAGAATCATTAATTTTTTTTTTCTCTTCAAAAGGATAAAATTGCTATAAGTTATATTATTATGATCCCAAACAAATAAGAGGCAAGCTATTTACTGGGAAAGAGTTTGCACACAGATAACAAATATATTGGTACAAGCTTGAATGTAATGCAAGTGAATTTTTTTATTTTTAGCTCATTTGTTTTGGAACTACAGTAATTGGGAGTTTTAGTAGTTTTCAAAAACGAAAATGGCAAGTTACTGATATGTGAAGCAATTCAAATAAATGTCAAATATTTTTTCCAAAATATAGCTTGTGGCATTTTGAATGTACAAATTATTTCATCAATTAAAGTTGCCAATACACAATTTCTTTAATTTAAAAAGTACATTTAGAAATTCCAATATAAATCCTAAATTTTTCTAAGGAAGTTAGATTTTGAGATGCAGAATTGATATACAAAAAAAAAAAAAATTAGTTTAAATTCCTGCTCCTCATTTTAAGAACAACAATGAATTGTAAAGTATTCAGAGAATGATACTTGGGATGGAAAGGTTGTCGTACGAGGGCAGGTTAAGAACGCTGAACTTGTTTTCTCTTGAAAACAAGTAGAGTAGAGGGGATCTAATTGAGGTGATTTAGACTATTAAGAGAATTAATAGTGTTGATGCATCATCTTTTTCCATATTTAATGGTAAAAATGGTAAGACTAGGGACAAAAAATATAAATTTTGGCAGGGTATGGGTACGAGTCATCTTCAGCTGAAACAGCTTTATTTTTCTAAGAGAGCAATTGTCTTTTGTAATGGGTTGCCTTAACACTCCCACAGGGGCTAATGTCGTGACCCCAAATTGGCCTTTATAGTTTCAATACTATAAATTTTAATATGTTTTGTGTATCTTCACAAAATTTTAAAGTCTTTCTGTAAACATTAAGTCTTTTGTACACAAAAAAATCAGATTTTTAATGAAATATTTTCACTAAAAATTTCTCCATGAATATATGGAGTCAAAGTATTGACTGTTCAAGTACAAAGTGATTTTCATGTTAAGATTAAAATTACTTTTCTTCATTTGAAAATTGTGAAATTTCATTTACATAATCTCTAAAACCTCATAAATAAATTTCAAACTTTTATTTCAGTTAAAACTATATATATTATCTAATATTTTCTCTACCCTAACTCTACACCCATTTGGCCAATTTGTCTGACTTCGTAGCCACCATAAAAAGAGCAAAATAAATCTAAATTACCCTTTTTTCTTTTTTAGAATGACTTCCAATTATAACATGAAACTACATTTGTTTATCCTAAATAGCTTAAAACTCAACAGTATACATCTACTTATAATATTTTGGCACTTGTGTATAAAGTGAAAATCATAAATAATATTCAACATTAAACTGGTAAACAATTAAAAACATTTTATTTAGGCCTATCTATGGCCTTCAAAAAGTTGATGACTACGTCTACATTTTGAAGGCCATAAATAGACCTAAATAAAATGTTTTTAATTGTGTACCAGTTTAACATTGAATATTATTTATGATTTTAAGTATACATCTATTTCTACTGAAGTTTTGTTATATTACCCTTTGAACTGTATCGGTTGGTGAATACAGAACTCGTGTTACCCTATCAAATAACATATGGTACAGGCTACTCACAAGCATATCTTGTGAAAACCTTTTATTAATTTTCCTTTATTTTACCTAATCTAACCTAATAAATTTCCAATTTTTACATTTTAGTTACTTTTAGAATAATAAAGAAAGAATACACATGAAAAACAAGAAATAAATTACTTACCTAGGTCTTCTTTTATTTTGCTGTCAAATGTTGATTAAACTTAACCCTAATTGTTTATATTAATGGAACTACTGCATTAATAATTTATCTAATTAAATAATGCACCTAAGAATACAGAACAATAAGAGCCATTAAAAATTCATCTAAGCTCGTTGATTTCTTCTTCATAGGAATAAAGTTTGAACTGGAAGCACAATAGACAATCTTTTGTACAAAAAACAACGTAATATAATGTCATTTGATAGATTAAAAGTTTGGCTTGCTATTGGTTATAAATAATATGGTACTAAACATCAGAGAGAACTATTGGCAATTTGTGAAAAAGAAGATGTGATGGGTGGGTGTGGCAAGAGGGGTCTGATTTTCTTATATCACTGTAACCAAATAAGACTGAAAGCTATAAACATTATGCTTTGCCTGAGTAATAACAATATTATAATAATCAATTTACATTCATTTGCATATTTCTCGGAGGGGTGATAAATAAATTAGAGAAAAGAGAAGACCTAGAGAGCAAATGTCACAATTCTCATGCTGTTGCCTTATAAAATTAAGAACTTAAAAATTATATGTCAGTTTTATGGTGGGCCGATTTCTTTACAATAGGTGTCTGTGACTTGTTGGCAATAAATGTCAACAATAAGTGGACAGCACATAATCAACTTGTTTTTAAATGATATATTCAAAACAAGTCAAATGTATGTACAAAAATTAGTTATACTATTAATTATCACAGTTGTATTAAGAGCTTTTTCGTCCAAGTACACACAGGTAGGTGCAATTTCTTTAGAACACCCTTTGACAGGACAAATTATTATTCTTCATCTCTGTTTTTACAATACCACTGTGAAACTCACTTTAGATAGTACCCATTACAGCTAATCTAACAATCATGCTGTCTAACTTCACTTTCACTAACTTACTTTAACTTCTTCCTTGCGCTCTGTATCTGCATGTATTTATAACATGTGACAGAAAAATCTTGAAATATCTAGCTGTCTAGTGACAAGAATATTCACATAACAAGAAAACTTAGGAGCTTCAAGTAAGATGACGTCAACAATATTACAAAAGCCTAGTACAACAATTAAACTGCATACACAACATACAACTCATACAAAGTTACATAATGAAATTTGTCACAACTATTGCTTTTAAAACTCTTGTTATGTAAACTATATAATCATTAAATATTAAATCACTAAATAAACTAAATAATAACTCTTAAACTAAAATGTCTTGTTTATCCAACAATACAATACTAAAACTTGGATTATTAGCTACGTTTCAATGCCAAGTTTATTCATATACCTTGACAATAAAGTAGTATAATTAAATCTTGAATGTAATTCAGTAAAACCTCATGACATGCACAGAAAAGAATGCCTCTGTGGAAAGAGTTAATGTTAAGAAGTTTACAAAATAAATGGTACTTATGAAACATGTCAGCTAAAATATTTTTTTACATTATAAAAACATATACTTAATAAGCTTACGCCTTGGTTCAGTTTCTGTAACTGACTCTAAAAAATCCTGTGGTGTCATGTATATCTGCCCTCGATACTCCACTGAAGCAAACTTAACAAAACGCTTTTCTCTTGAGGTTAGCTGTTGTTCTAACTTTTGTCCTTTTGAGTTATCCTGAAAAATGTAGCAACATTATGTTATATAATGTATAAACACAAGCATTAGAAACAGTAATCCCAAATTACTAAGTCATATATATCTTCAAAGAAAAATGTAGTATATATGAAACAGCAACAATATATTAACAATCAATTTCAATTATTACATAATTCAACAATCTTATTTCCTCTACTATATTATAAGACAATTTTATTATGAAGTTGTCATTATAGTTTCTTTTCATCACATCTATATTACTTTATTACAGAAACTAACAATATAAGCATCTAAAACACAAAAGGTAAGATTTGTTTATGGCAATACAAGGCTACCTGCCAACATCCCTAACAGACGAAAGGCAACTATCTGGTGACACCCACCACCAACTCTTTAGCTAGTCTTTACCAATGAATAATGGTATTCATCATCACATTATAATGCTTTCACAGCTAAAACGACAATCATGCTCAGCACCAGGTTCTGATACTGTGACCCTTAAATTGTGAGTTGAGTGCCCTAGCTAGCAAGCCATACCAGACCCAATACTGAAAGAAAACTTTTCCATATACAAAGTAACTTTGCCACTTACTTGCTACAGCATTCTAAAATAATAAATAAATAAATATAAATTTCAAAAATAATCATGCATAACATCTACTTTTGGATATAGTGAAATATCAATTAAACATAAATAATTTATCAAGCTTTGAAAAACAGAAATCTCAAATAAAATCTTCACATTTGATAATTAATTTTAAACAAAATATTGTATAACTTACAAATTTCTAATATTATTCATCAATCTATAAAAAATACTTTTCCTAGTAAAAATTTGAAGCCTATTGTTAAATGAAATTCTGATTAGACCACTATTATATAATTACGAGTTTTTAACTAACTTAATTGCAGATCAAGTAAATACTTTACCATATGAATGTAAAATTAGTATACTTATTGATACTTTTCCTAAACATTGTTACTGGTAAGTTAGAAATTGTAAGAGATAAGCTATTGTATGAAATGCTTAAAAAAACATCAAAAATTCAGAATGCCACAGATTGTATTAAGCAAGATATTCTAAAATAATGATGAATACATTTTGAAACTTAATTATATTACATCTTATCCATCTAGATGGTTATTTGAATGGAAGCTTTATGTACTTTATAGTACTTTATGTACTTAATTATGAAATAAGATCCAAGAATTGCAAGTAAAATTTGTCCGTCTTCCCATGGATAAAGTTAATTGTAATTTTGTGTTTATTTGTAAAAAGTTCTATGCACTACTTATGAGTGAAATTAATAGTACACAAACATTTAAACTTGTTAACCAATCTAAAGATACAGTAATTAATAATTTCATTATAGCTTAAAAAAATTCATTCTAAATCAAATCCTTTTTTAGATTTACCTTTCCTGTATGCTATTCCTAAGCTATATAAATTTCCAATAAAATTTACATACATTTCCAGTTCAGTGAAAACAATTATTAAACAACCAGCCATTTATTAAATAAATTACTTTACATTTTATTTGATAGAATTAATAATATAAATAGTAATAACAATAAACAGACGATTTTTGGATAATAAAAAAAACACATTTTAGAATACTTAAATAATTGTGAACAAGTTAAAACTATTCAAATATTTGATTTTATTACACTGTACAACAATTCAATTGAAAGGTTTAATTTCAGTTATGAATATATTAATAGAACAATACTGTAACCCTTCTGTATTACTCGAAGAAATAAATTTTTCCTCCAAAAATATAAAGGATACATTAAGTTTCTTTATTTATAATAATTATATTTTTTTCAATAATCAGATACTTAAAGTAATAGGAGTTCCAATGGGAGCTAACTATTCTACTTTTATAGCTAACTTATATCTTTATTTTTAAAACAATAAGTTTATTGAAAACATCATAATTCCAAATATTTTTGCTATAACTTAGATATATTGATGACTCAGTTAGTATATAAATAATCCTAAGATAAATAATTTTAATAACACTATCTGGTAGAATTAAAAATTGAAATTACTTAAAGTTCTGAAGTAGAAGCACAATATTTAGATGTACAAATTAAAATATTTAATCATGATGTTAATTTGAATGTTTTTGATGAAAGAAATGTTTTTATTTTCCAATATACAGCCTACCTTCTCCTAATAGTAATATGCCACATTCTTCCATTATAAGTATTACAAGTGCACAATTGCTGAGATTTTGTAAAATTTGTAATCAATTATAACTTTTCCTTACTAATATTAAAATACTGATACAAAAGTTATTATTTTCCTATGCTGAAAATGTATTACTGATAGGTATTTCCCTCCACTCATAAGATTAGCTATTCTCAACCAGTGCTGCCCTATATATGCAAATTTTTTCTTTATGCATGTGACAAGCCTTTTGCTCTCCCCTATTAGAATCGAATGATTCCAACATGTAAATCATCATGAGTCACTTCTCCACCAATAGCAGCGTGACATACTCATGTAACACATGTGACTCCCTCTATACACCTCTACTGAACTATCACTTCAAGGTTTGGTAGAAGACGTAAGCACCAGAGGAAAGTGGGAGGAATAGTGGGAAGTGTGAGAGGAGGGAAGTACCTATCAGAAATACATTTTCAGTATAGGAAAATTATAACTTCCGATACAGTACTTCCCTCTGCTCACAAGATTAGCTAGAATACCACACTGATTAGGTGGCAGGACTGGTGAGAGGGAATGACACAAATACCTCCCCAAAAGCGTCTGAAGGATAACCCTGAAAATGAGAGTCAGATCCAAACATATTATGAGGGGAACCACACCACTTCTGAACCAGGTTACTGTTCATCCATCAGTGAAACGTATAGTAGATAAGGGTGGAAAAAGAGAGGAGCACATCCAAGTGGGAGAGAACTGTCGCAAAATAGTGATCCTAACTGTGTAAACATATACATAACTGAATTCCACAAAGTACAAAAGTGAGCAAAACAATAGATGTGCACCTAAGTGTAAAGTGGCTATGGCGCGATGGACAGTACTCGGTAGGTCAACTACATCCAAAACCCATGCCACTGGGAACTGACATCCATACAGGGGTAGGATGAGAATCATATCATCTTCACCTCAAGTTCAAGAGACCAGGAAGAATCTAGAACCACTCCGTTTCCTAAGCATGACACGTTAGCTTTGATCTATCAATCCAGGGATCAGATATCCAGTAATGAAAGGATGTCTATATAATATGAATCAACTCCCCCAACAGTGAAATTGACTGGAACCATCCAAAAAGCAATAACATTCTTGGAATAAGATACAATGACGGATAGCAAAAGATAGAGAGACAAAGGAAAAGGTACTGGAAGGAAAAGTTGCAGTTGCTGTAATCATAGAAACCATTGTTAAGCTGGCCAATCAGAAGGACTCAACATGGTGTGGGGTGGATGAGAGAGATCACCCAATGAAGTAATCAGATAGGAGGATAAACATAAAGAAATTTGTGGGACTAATCCTGGCTGAAGGCATTGACAGCCAGAGCCTAAATATGATGTACCAGTGACCAAAAGATGGGTAACTTGTGATTGAGGTATGTGGCAAGGGCATTTGTGGAAAAAAACCCATCAATTTCAAAGACACCAGAAAACGGGGGGGATCCAAAGACCACCTCATCAGATATACTAGGTCAGGGCGGGAAAGACGATCCACTATGAGACTGAAAGCACCCAGAAAGTGACATGCAGTGAGATGAATGTGGTGCATATTGGCCTAACATAGAAGATCCAACATTTGAAAACAGAGATCTTGACTGGGTGCCCCTTGGCGATTGTTATGTGCTACCACCATAGAATTGTCGAAATGAATCATCCCCAGACAACTTCTGGCAAGAGGAAAGAAGTGATTCAAAGCCCAACAGACCACGAGAAGCTCAAGGACGTTCATATGCAAAGACCTTTTGTCTACAGACCAATGACCCAAAGCCTCCTGGTGATTGATCCATGCACCCCAGTCCTAAAAGGATACATCTGTGAAAAGATTTAAACCTGGACAAGGAAGAGGAAGCAGGACACCCATTGATGTATTGGCTTTGTTCAACCACCAATGCAGACCATCCATCAGGGTAGGAGGTAGGGTAACAAGAGCTGGCAAGGAATCACATATGCACACGACCAAGGAGTACAAGTACAAGGGTACATCCTCAAAAGTGATAGAACCTCGTGAGCAAAATTTGAGGGAGCTGAAAGGGCATGGCAAACTAACAGTTCCATGAAATGAAGTCATAGAGGAGAAAGTTGGGCCTGACTGAGATGAATGTTGAAAAAGACACCCAAGTGAGCAAGAAATTGGGTATGTTGGAGGAAGGACTTCTCAAGTTTGATTAACCAGCCCACCCAAGCAGCCACTAGAAGGAGCTGACAAGTATGACTGGCTGACTCCAGTTTGGAATAAGCCAGTCATCCATATAATGGTGGCATCACAACCTCAGAGCATGAAGATGGTGAGCAAAAGCTCTGACCACCCGACAGAAAACAAAAGAGGTGGAAGCAAACCCAAAGGGTAGAGTACAAAACCTGATGAACCACTCTGTGATGGATGAACTGAAAATATGGACAAAACCATGGTGATATAGGGATGTGGAGATAAGCATTGGCAACATCCATCTTAGCCATCCATAAGACCAGAGAAAATGCCCACTGTAGGATGAGAAATGACTCCATGGTAAAACAGGGCAGTTGAACAAAGTGATTGAGGCAGGATAAATCAATGACATGCCTCCAGTGCCATGTTCAGCTATGACAAATTTACTTTTATAACAGTGTTGTTGGCCTTTAGAATAGGTTGTCAGGTGTGGTGGATGCAGTTAATTTAAGGGACTTCAACAGAAGGCTTGATAAATATCTGATTAATATGAGCTGGCTAAGTTTTTGTTTTGTTTTTAAAGTTTAGTTTAGTGAATGTGATGACCTAGATGGACTCTGCTGTCCTTCAATTTTATGTTATGGTATAACTATGT